ATAAGGGAAGTTGGTAGAAGTCATGAGCACAAAATGGGCCCACCTTGCCACTGTGATTGAGTCCTAAATGCTTTTGGAAGGAGCCAGCCAATATGCGCTTTTTTCAGGGTGGGGATGCGGGTTTAAGCGCGCGGTCGTTTTTTTTTGGGCCTAAACGCCATATACAAGATACGAGGGGGGTCATATAAGCAAAGCAACTAGAGGATCGTTAAGATTGATCTCGGCCCGTGTGCCTCGGTTTAAATACCACTGCTGTTTTTATGAACGACAATGCACAGGATTTGGATTTTCGTCATTTCCGTTTCCATAGCTTATGCTTTTCTTCAGAATATATTCATTTTGATCTTTACTGTTTTTTTTTTAATATATCTGTTTTTTTTTGTTTGTTTGTTTTTTCCTGTCGGGGGTGGCTCTCTTCACCTCTGGAAGAAGACGGGGTTGCGCAGGCAGGCGGCTAGTCACCTGCAGCACCCCAGGGCTCCGGCCGAGGTCTCCAGGCTGCTGTCGGTGTCCGAGGCCAGGGTCTGGTCGGTGGACATGGAGGAGATGTCGTTGATGGAGGAGGAGGGGGGGGGGCTCTCGCTGCTGTTCACGGCTGCACCTGTGCTACGGGAATCAACAGCAGCGGGGGGTTACAACGGACGGGAAGGGGGGGGGGGGGGGAAGAAAGGGGGGAATTTCAAGGGGTTAAATTGTGGGGAGGGGGGGGGGGTTACTTCACTGAGACACGGACAACATTAACACCAGCTGGGGTATTATTATTATTATTATTTTTATTTTTATTATTATCATTTTTATTTTTCTTTATTATTATTATTATTATTATTATTTTTTTTATTTTTTTAATTTAATTTAATTTTTTATTTTTTTTATTATTTTTTTTTATTATCCTTATTTATGTGTAAATCCCTCTCATATGTATGTTGATCGTTTAATATTTGATGTTTAAAAAAGTTCAATAAAAAAGAAAAAAAAAAAAAACACCAGCTGGGGGGGCACAGTCACAATCACAGGGGGTCTAAAATGAGACAGAGGTGGGTAAAGGTTTGGGTCCTGTGAGCTCCATGCAAACGTCTCTTATTCCAACACGTACTGGAAATAGTCACGTTTGGAAGTAGTTTTGCTAAATTGACCTCGTTTTTTAGTCAAATCTGAACAAAATCAGCATGAAACCTTCTTAGACTCCACTAAATAACATTATTCCTTCTGTTAAATGTCATCCTTTCATTTTCACAGTATGATAAATGGAATAAGACACACAGGAGGTCCAGTTTGAATCTAATTTCCTCCGTTGTTTTAAATGTGTGGGAATGTGAATCACCTTTATCAACACTTTTTTTTTTAACCCGTGTGTGGAAAAGGAAAGCGTCTCTTTGTGGTCATTTCTGAATCAAAGCTGAGTTTCCACAAAGTCCTCCATCAAACTGGTTTCTCCATTTCAGAGCAGAGCAGTTGAAGGAAACAGCGTAAATATTTCTTAGGACTAAATTAAACCGAACGCAAAGTAAGTTTAGAGGCCCACATCAACTTGTCTTCTGTAAAAATGCAGAATATTACAGATCAGCCATGTTTTGTCCATCACGAGTCTAAAATAGTGTTGCCAAGAAGAGCATGGATAGAAATCTCCATTAAACAAGCACAAGTAAATATTCAGCTCCATTAGATAAAAACCACTGGAGGTTTCGAATTTTGAACCACAGAAAAAAGAGGAGGGCAAAGACAAACAGAGCTGCTGCTTCACGGGAGGAAAACCATCTCGTAGGCAATTATTTAATTAGTAATATTCCTGTTTGTGAAATAATAAAAAGGACAAGTGTTTATATGCTGATCAAATGACAAGAAACTAGTCCCAGTTTAAAGTTAAACGACAAGAAGCAGAGACTTACAAGTTTTTAAGAAGAAGAGTGGTACATAATATGTAGAGATTTTACTAAGAAGGAGTTCCTGCATGTGGGCAAAGCTTTTGTGGTTTTTCTGTCATGCCTCTGATCAAATCTCTGTTCAGCCATTTCTCAGTCTGGACTGGCCCTGGCGTGACTCATTACCGCCACCCTGTGGCCAAGTGGGAGAACTGCGCTTCCCTCTGTCGGATCTTTACAGATGATGCTTTAAAATACTCCTTTCCAGGAGCCACAGAACCCAAACCTTAAACAAAGACATGTTTTACGCACATCCACGTTCATAAAAAACTTCTGCTATCAGATTCTCTGCAAAAAGAAACTGTTTGAGCAGACTAACTTTAGCTTCTGAGAGTGTGAACAAACAGCTTAAAATAAGGTCACTGAACCACACGACATTTAACTCGAGATGCAGGCGACACAGACACATGGTCGACAACACAATGGGTTTCTGTATGTACAAAGGGAAAACTCCAGTAAGGGTATAATAGATTCACTTACAGAGCGATTAGGCTTATGCACTGAGAGTACCTGAAGGTGAAGGCTGTCCCTTCACAACGCCATTCTTCGTTCTCTCCTCAAAGTTCATCACCTCTTTGTAGATAAGTTCTGGCAAATGGGATCATTTACAGGGAAACGGTCAGTGAGACAAAAATGTGCTTTATATAATCAGTATAATCAGTATCTGTATAATCCACTCATTACAGTGAGTGGATTCTTATAATAATGCCAACTCACAGATTACTGTTGACTCCCTCTCAACATATTTAGTTATTTTCCCCCCTTTTCTTTCTTTATTTTGTAAAAAATAAGCGATTATTACCTTTCCATTCATCAATAGAGTGTTCTCGTTCATCCAGCTGTTTGTCGTAGATCTGAGGTGGAGGCTAAAGTGAAGCCAGAGCACAGATCATTTTAGAAAAAAGCACAACAAATCCATCACAAGGTAGAGTGTGCACACAAAAACCTTTTCCATACATAATAATAATAGCTCTGCTCGATCGGAGCCTCATTGATCAGAATTCCGGATATTGAGAAGCTGATCAATTTGTAAAGATGAAGGGATGAAAACACACCTGAAGGCCA